TAACCAGAAGCAAACACAAATTGACTCTTATACATGACCTTATCTGATAGTTACTTGCTGAAAAACAACTTCCTCACTTTTTTGAGTTTAGGTTATGGTATGACAGAATGCACGATGGCATCTCATGTGCCAGATCTCAAGAATAATATACCTTTCGGAAGTGTAGGAAAAGTCGCGTCAAATTTGCGAATGAAGGTAGATTTTTTGACTACTGTAGAACCACTGCTCACTAATCGTCAGTCTACAGATAATTGATCCTTCGTCTGGGAAGGAGATGCCGGCCGGGATGCCGGGCGAGATCTGCATCAAGGGGCCAACGGTGATGCTTGGCTATCTGGGCAAGCCAGAAGCGACAAAAAGCACGATCATTAATGGGTGGCTGCATACAGGTAATATTTTTAAAAATTTGACTCTTGGTCTAAATCGGTACTTCTAAAAATTGTAGTTAATATATAGACAGACTTTTTTCGTTAATGAATGTTCCCAGTCCTATAAGAAAGCAAACAACAGCACGCACCAGATCGTCCAGTTTTACGCTCGCATCAAAATCTTGCAAAAATTTTCCAACAAAAATATTATGCCTTTATCTTTTGAGGATTTTTGCTTGTTCCCGCAGTTACAAAAAGAACATATGACAGGAGTTTCACTGAGAATGCTGCCGTTAATAAAAATGTTTTTTATTAAACGTTTTTACACAACCCTCTTTTCGCTAACTTCATTCTTGTTCGAACTACCACTCGATAGAAAATGTCCTACTATTTGAATTCGAAAAATCAACTATCTCTGTAAATGTAAAAGACTTTTTTCTTCAAAATTTACGCAATTTTGGTAGGCTTTCTGAATGACGCAATTCATTGTGACTCGAACCACACTGAGTAAATAACATAAAATTATGATAATTGATTAATCTAATGATTTCAATGTAAAAATGGTAGTGATTAATCAAATGTTTGTTTACTGTGCTGTGTTATCGTGGTCTGTGTAATTTTACAGGACTATTGAGTTTATTTATTTTTCTCTGCCAAAAATAATGTTGCTATTGCTGTTCAAGTTGGATAGCTCAAAAAAGTACTGCTCGTGATGCAGAAGCGTTGTAATATTACATCCTCAGTAAGAAGTTTGCTTACTACACTGCTTTTACCTCTCGCACGCAAAAGAATACGAAAAAAAGGACCACATCTGCTGCGGAGTTATGAACCGTGAAGACGAATTTGTTTACGAAAGCTTGAGCTTTTCAGGCGACATTGGCTATGTGGACGAATATAGAAACTTATTTATTGTCGATCGGCTCAAGGAGCTCATCAAAGTTAAGGGATTACAGGTTTGTTATAGTACAGATTAATTTCATTTTTTTAAGCATGGCTGTCACTTATTTGTTGAGATACGCCGGAAGGAAGATTCACGGAAAAAATTAGAACATGTTATTTCCTAAAATAAATTGCCAAAAGTTGTCAAGCAGACATAATTTTGTCAAAGTAAAATTTACTAAGATAAGGTCTGAGAATTTTCTGGAACACATTTTTTCAAAATTCTCACTTCTCCCGTACAGAACGTGTGAAGCAACCAACTGCTCTCCTGAAAACGCTTTTTTCTCCTCATCTGCAGATGTGAAATTTTGCTAGAAAAATTATCAGCGAGCCATGCGCCTAATATTAAGTCCTGTGAAATAAACAATGTTAAAGTCAAATGTTTATTTCATCGGAACAGTCGAAAAATTCAAATTTCACTGACCGATTCACTACAAATTCAGCTGTCAAAATGCTCCAGCTATTTGTATCCTTCTAGACTTTTTCTTACAAGGGAAGTTTGCTTAATCGAAATGGCGATTGGCA